AAATATCTAATAAATTAGTTTAATTATGATAATTTTTAGGCCTTTATTATTACTAAAATATTGATAATATATTGCTAATATTAGCACTTTATCTGGCAAATTCATATGATCATAGTACAGTTTTTGCATATTATCTTTTAAGTAGTTATGACGTAACAACAAATAATGAAATTATGCTTAATAAAATTTGCTATTTATGTATTGCAATAATAATTTTTATATTTATTTAATTTTTTGTTATTTATATATTGCAAATAATAAGGTTTATATTATTTAATTAATAATTAAAAATTAAAGATACAGTTATAAAACACATTTTCAGTAAGGAATTTTTCAACAAATTCCTTATTTTTTGGTTCTTTTCAACCTTTTCAAGATCTTCATCTACTTGCTTTTGAGAGTCATGTTCCAGAATATTTTAGTCATTTTCAGAAAGAACAGCAAATGAACACTCATTCTGGGAGAACATGTCAAGATTGTCAAAATAATTCGTCAATGAAACCTGTGATTAGCACAATAAAAACTTGCAAGAACAAGCCTACCATTTGATGGGGTGCTATTATTGGCTTCAGGGGTAATATAATTGGCTTCAGAGGGAATATAATTGGCTTCAGAGGCAATATCATTGGCTTTAGGAGCGATATCATTGGCTTTGGAAGTAACATTGGCTTCAGGGGTGATATTGGCTACAGGGGTGACCTTGGCTTTGGAAGTGATATTGGTTTTGGGACAACATTGGCTTCGTCAGCATTATCTAAAAAATAAAAAACAATTAATTAGTTTAATGTTTAATTGAAACGACAGAATTTATACAGATTTTATCTTTCAACGCTTCATTTGAAGTGTGTATTAATGCTTTAAAAAATCTATTGATACCCTCATGTTGTATCACTGATTTCGGTAGTTCATATGTAGCAAGACCCTTTGGGACTTGTGTCGTTTATTGACATTACAATCGAATCAGAGTATACAAGTTCTTTTAGAACTTGTATTGCCGTTTTCTTTTAAAATAGTTTGAGATATTATGATTGCCAATTTTAATATTCATAGCTTCACATATAGCGTGAAAATAACTTCTCAATGT